ATTTCCTCGTGTACAGTTACAAACTAGAAAATACAAGAGAATCTACAGCTAAATATATAGAATTGATAACAACGTTTAGCAAGATTTCTGGCAAGTCAGTATTTTGAAAACTCAATTATGTATCTATATTTCAGGAGAAAATAGATATTAAATTCTTTAAACAATACTATTTTAAATAGCATAAAAATCAAATTCTTAACAATAAACAGGATGTGTAAACCTCTATACATAAAACTAAAAATTGGAGTGAAATTAAAGATCTAAATAAATGAAGAGATATACATTATATTCACTGATTGAAAGACTCAATCTGTAAAAATAATATCCACATTGAACTGTAATCAATCTCAATAAAAATTTCATTTGGAGAAGGAGAGGGGTAACTTGGCAATCAGTTTCTAATTTTTAGCGACAATTCTAAGGATACAAAACAGCCCAGATACTCTTGCCAAAGAAAACTAGAGTGGAAGGATTTATTCCACATTCATCAAGATCTCTTTTAAAGCTATGGTACTAGGTAATGTTATTGGTGCAATAGACAAACATATCAGTGTACTTAAATAAGGAACCCCAGAAATAGACGCATACACAAAGGCACTGCAGAACATTGTGGAAATATTTGTTTTTGAGACAGGGTCTTGTTTTGTTGCCCAAACTGGAGAGCAGTGGCATGATCTTGGCGCACTGCAACCTCCACCTCCTGGGCTCAAGCCATCCTCCCACCTCAGCCTCCAAAGAAGCTGGGACTATGGGCATACACCACCATACCTAGATAACTTTTGTATTTTGTGGAGATGGAATTTTACTATGTTGCCCAGGCTAGTCTGAACTCCTGGGCTCAAGTGATCTGCTTGCCTTGACCTCCCAAGGTGCTAGGATTACAGACATGAGCCGCCGCACCTGGCCATGGAAATAATTTTTTAGGAGGAATTATATTGGTACAGTTGAATATCTATATATTACCAAAATTAATTCCATGTGAATTATAGACCTAAAAGTGAAAGTAGAAAAAGTAAAGCATTTGGGTGACAATATAGGACTTATCTTCATGTCCTTAAAGTAGAGAACACTTTTTAAAACAGAATACAAAGCATATCCATAAAGGAAAAGATTGTGATATAGTTTGAATATATGTTCCCACCAAATCTCATGTTGAACTGTAATCCCCAATGTTGGAGGTGGGGCTAGGTAGGAGGTGATTAGATCATGGAGGAGGATCCCTTATGGCATGGTGCTGACTGCCACGTGTGTACCTATGCAACAATCTTGCATGCTCTTCACATGTACCCCAAAACTTAAAATGCAATAAAAAAAAAAAACAAACAGTGAGCTCTTGCGAGATCTGGTTAAGTGTGTGGCGCCTCCCGCTGTTTTCTCTTTTGCTCCTGCTCTGGCCTTATGGGACGAAGGCTTCCCCCTCCACCTTCTGCCATGATTGAAAGCTCCCTGAGGCTTCAGTAGAAGCCAAGCAGATGCCAGCACCATGCTTCCTGAAAGCCTACAGAACCGTGAGCCAGTTAAACCTCTTTTCTTTGTAATTTACCCAGTAGCAGGTATTTCTTTGTTTTTTTTTTTGTTTTGTTTTTTTGGTGTGTGTGTGTGTGTGTGTGTGTGTGTGTGTGTGTGTTTTCTTGAGACAGGCTTACTCTGTAACCAAGGTTGGAATGCAGTGGCACAATCATGGCTTATGATAGCCTTGATCTCCTGGGTTCCCTCTGCTTCAGCCTTCAGAATAGATATGAAATTGTTAAAAATATGCTATTTTCAATAGCATAAAAATCAAATTCTTAACAATAAACAGGATGTGTAAAACCTCTATACAGAAAACTAAAAATTGGAGTGAAATAAAAGAAGAGCTAAATAAATGAAGGGACTATGAAGGGACTACAGGCGAGAACCAGTGTGTCAGCTTTTTTTTGTTTTTATTTTTCTGTAGTGACAAGATCTCTCCACGTTTTCCAGGCTGGTCTTGAACTCCTGGGCTCAAGCAGTCCTCCTGCATTGGCCTCCAGAAGTGTTAGGATCACAGACATGAGCTGCTGTGCCTGGCCAGGTATTTCCTTAAAGCAATGCAAGAGCAGCCCAACACAGACTGATAAATTGGTCTATGTTACAATTAAGAACTTATTGAAAGACATCACTTAGAAAATAAAAGGAATACCATGTACATTAGTGGGGAAAGATATTGGCAACATACGTAACCACCAATGGACTACATCTAGAATAGATAAAGAACTCCTAAAAATCAACTAAAAAAGACAACACAAAGTACAATTGAACAGGAAATTTTCAAAAAATAAAATCCAAATGGTAGAACTTGCCTTGTAGAGAAAAAAAAATCCAAATGACCAAAAACATATTAAATTGTGCTCCACCTTATTAAAAACATGATAAGACACCAGTGAACATCTGTCAGAATGGCTAAAATTCAAAAGACTGTTACACCAAGTCTTGGTGAGAATTTGAGTTACAGAAATCCTCATGCACTGCTGGTATATTGGTGAAATTGTAAATTGGTATTAACTATTTTAAACTACTTATGTGGTAATGTAGAAGATAAGCACAGCTTATGATCCAGTAATTCCATTCAAAGGTATATACCTAGAGGAAGAATGTGTCTCCACTAGGAAACATGAACAAGACTGTTCCCAGCAATACTTTTCAAGATTGTAAAAAAATTAAAAAATAAAACAATGTTTTAAAAGCAATAGCTGGGTACGGTGGCTAATGCCTGTAATCCCAGCACTTTGGGAGGCTGAGGCAGGTGGATCAATTTAGGTCAAGAGTTCAAGACCAGCCTGACCAACATGGTAAAACCCCATCTCCACTAAAAAATATATAAAATTAGACAGAGGTGGTGTCATATGCCTGTAATCCCAGCTACTTCGGAGGCTGCCTCAGGAGAATCATTTGAACCCAAGGGCCAGAGCTTGTAGTGAGCTGAGATTGCACCATTGCACTCCAGCGTGAGCAAGAAGAGGGAAACTCTGACACACACACACACACACACACACACACACACACACACACACAAAAGCAAAATGGCAGTATCCATCCAATGAATTACAAAAAGTAATAGCTAGAATTAAGTGAGAAAAAAAACATATGACATTGGAGATATGGTGAAAAGAGGAAATTTCTTCTTCCAATAAGCAAAAAGAAAGGCCGTCAGAAATTATGTTGGGGAAGACACTGTACAAGAAAGGCACAGTCCATATATAAAGCCAACAAAATGTGGCATGATTTTTAGCAATTATTGAAGTACAGGAAAGGAGAATCTATTTTAACATTCTTCTTTAGTACAATGAATATGACATTGATACTGAGAAGGAAATGTTGGCTCTGCAGAAAATAGAAATTACATAGCTATGATACTGTAAACCCTGTGTATTGATCTTTTGAAATACATCCACCTATAAAAAAGTAAGGAAGATTTATTGAAGGTTACAGAACACAATATAAATGCCATATGTCTTGAAAATATAACGGTAACAGTACTTTTTATTTATTTATTTTTTGAGATGGAGTCTCACTCTGTAGCCAGGCTGGAGTGCAGTGGCACAATTTCGACTCACTGCAACCTCTGCCTCCCGGGTTCAAGTTGATTCTCCTGCCTCAGCCTCCCGAGTAGCTGGGACTACAGGCACACACCACCCTGCCTAGCTAACTTTTTGTATTTTTTAGTAGAGACAGGGTTTCACCATGTTAACCAGGATGGTCTCAATCTTTCGACCTCGTGATCCACTCGCCTCAGCCTCTCAGAGTGCTGGGATTAAAGGCGTGAGCCCGGTCCAGTAACAGTACTTTTAACAGAATGTGAAAGAAGGAAATGAGAAAAAGAAGTAAATGATAGGAACACCAATATCCACATCTTCAAAGTGGGGGATCAACAGATACTGTCTGTACTTTATGGAACAAGAAATAGAGATTAAAGTATTTGCTTAATTTTATGAAAATAATCAGGAGAAAAACTAAAAATAGGCATATAACTCTATGGCAGTGTAAGAGAACTCTCATAATGAAGCTCCATAGATAATGTCTAAAGTTGATTAAAAATAGCATACAATTGTCTTTGACAAAGAAAAAAAAAGAAATATGAAATAACCACTGAAAACTAAATCCCAAAATGCTTAAAATGATTACTTTGAGGGAGCAGGACTAGTGATAGAGAGGAATAGGATAGATAATATTTTTCATTATTAACCTCTTCTAAATTAATGATTTTTAAACTAATATTATGTAGTATATGTGTGTGTGAGAGACAGAGAAGAACTATATTACAGAAAACAAGTTTAAAATTTCGAGGTTGATAAATGATTGGCATATGCAAGAAATTGTTGAGAGAATTTCTAAGCAAGGCATTCTGAACAGGAACACAATGCAAGATCTCTTTGCTATGAAGAAACCTTGGGATACATACACTGGTAATCCAACTTCCTGAGCATGTCGCAATCAATTTACAATTTATTGTCTCTGATTTAAGAAAGTTTGAAGTTTTTGCCAAATACTGAAATAATACAAATATTTTAAAAATCCCAAGTATCTACACGTATACGTGTATTTTACTAGACATGTAAAACGATTCATCCATTTGCTAATTCATTTTCTCATTTGCCATTAAACGTTGCTCATCCATCAGTTTTTCTATAATGACCAACTTCCCTTAGGGAAACACAAGTCAATAATGATGTATTTCTTCCTCCAGCACAGGATTGTGCTCTCTGCTTTGATTATTACGATAATGAATAGAAAGTACATAGTGTGGCAGTAAGGTAAGCATAGCGAATGAATTGCAGAAGAGTTGCTTCTTACTTCTGGGGAAATCTACCTTCCAGAGGTACACAATTCCATGAGTGACAATGAATACCTCACAAAAAAACTTTTAAATTCAATTCCAGTTTGTTTGGACATTCTGGCCAGTACAGACACGGTATAGGTATCAGCAGCAACCTAGTTATATGTGAAGAATAAAGGAATAAATGTTTCTGAAAAATACTTACCATTGTCGAGTACTTACAAATATCGGTGGACACTGAAGTTCACATAACCAAAGTTAATGACTATCAGTTAAAAGTAGATTCAGGGGGGATTTTTTTTTTCAATGTGGCTCCAAATGATTAAAATCCTCAGTCAGCTGTAACCAAGTGAAATGTAATGTCAGCCTAGTTCTAATTTTAGTTCATGGACAAAGCTGAGAATAGAAAAGAATCACATGGGGCTTCTCTGCGAAGGATCAGCTGATAATGTATGTGAGTGCATTCTGTGGACTGCAAAAGGTATACTACAGACATTATAAAACTATCAGGCATAACTGTTTCTAAGATCCTGAAAAATAATGCCTATTGAAAGTCCTTCTATTTTTCATAAGTTACTCATTTAATAGAATTTAACGCATCTATTCCATCCAAGCAGAGAAATTTGGAATATGTTGATGTATGCCATAACAAAAATTCTACGTAGTAAACCGTAGATCTGCCAATGTTTGAACTAAATGCTCAGATGCTTTAAGAAAAGAAAAAAATAAAGGTGTGGGTAAGCATGGGTAACAGAGGAGCCCCAAACTTCTGCTGTACCTGGACTTCAAATTCAGTTATCTCTCACTTCGATCGGTTCAGCTTTCATAGATAGGGCTTAATTCCAGGTTCTTAAAAAATTAACTATGTATTTATTTTTTTGAATTTGTAATATGGAACAAAATTCAGAAGTTCAATCTCCACCGTCTTTGTCCTCTGCCCCTTTCACCATCCCCGCCTCCAGTAGGGAGGTTCTCTTCTCTTAAGGCAACCACTATTGCCAGTTTCTTATACATCCTTCCAAAGATCTGTGAATTTACAAGCTTAAATATGCCTACACCCCTACACAGATGTGAAGGCATGCACACATACAAAAAATGGTAGCATACTATATACATTTTTCTATACTGTGTTTTCTTCACTCAGGATATCTTGGAAACTATTTATATTAGTATATTTAGAGTAGCTTCATTCTTTTTAATGGCTACATAGCAGTTTAGCATGTAGGTGGATAATAATTTATGTAGTCATTTGGACATCTCAGCAATATTAGTGCTTTAAAAATTTATGCCCGGAGAGAGATCCAAGATGGCTGATCACTAACAGCTCGGGATTGTAGCTCCCACTGAAAGCGCAAAGAATGAGAGGACGCCACACCTTCACATGAATTCTTGTTGCTCACGCACCAGGAGATTCCCAGCGGAGGAGCCCCACGGGTCGCCAGCGCGACTCTTGTGACCGGCGAGGCGGTTTTGCCGGCACCTTGGAGCCACGGTTCTTGGTGCAGAGCCGGAAAAGCACCATTAATCTTAACGCCGCTGATTTGGTCGGTGCAGTGGGTTGCTCAGATTTCGGCGCTGAGAATCAGTAAGTTGGACGTCCACTCAGAAACCTAATTACAAAGACGGTGAATTCAAAGACCACAGATGGATAAATTTATAATGAAGGGAGGAAAATGGCCAAAAAAGGCTGAGAATGCCCAAGATCAGAACGCCTCTCCCTCAGTGGGGGATCACAGTTCCTCATCAGCAACGGAACAAGGCTTGATGGAGAACGAGTGTGTTCCAATTACAGAAGCAGGCTTCAAAATGTGGATAATGAGAAACTTCTGTGAATTAAAAGAACTTGTTTTAACCCAATCTAAAGCAACTAAGAACTTTGAAAAAAGATTTGACGAAATGTTAACAAGAATACACAATTTAGAGAGGAATATAAGTGAATTGATGGAGCTGAAAAACACAATAGGAGAACTTTGTGAAGTATGCACAAGTTTTAACAGCCGAATTGATCAAGCAGAAGAAAGGATATCAGAGGTCGAAGACCAACTCAGTGAAATAAAACAAGAAGACAAGATTAGAGAAAAAAGGATACAAAGGAACGAGCAAAGTCTCCAAGAAATATGGGACTATGTGAAAAGACCTAATCTACGCTTGATAGGTGTACCTGAATGTGACAAAGAGAATGAATCTAAGCTGGAAAATACGCTTCAGGACATTATTCAGGAAAATTTTCCCAGCCTAGTAAGGCAGGATAATATTCAACTCCAGGTAATACAGAGAACACCACAGAGATATTCCTCAAGAAGAGCAACTCCAAGGCACATAATCATCAGATTCACCAGGGTTGAAATGAAGGAGAAAATACTAAGGGCAGCCAGAGAGAAAGGTCAGGTTACCCACAAAGGGAAGCCTATCAGACTTACAGCAGATCTCTCAGCAGAAACCCTACAAGCCAGAAGAGAGTGGGGACCAATATTCAACATCCTTAAAGAAAAGAACTTTCAACCCAGAATTTCACATCCAGCCAAACTAAGCTTCACATGTGAAGGAAAAATAAAGTTTTTTGTCAATAAGCAAGCACTCAGAGATTTCATCACCACCAGGCCTGCTTTACAAGAGCTTCTGAAAGAACCACTACACATAGAAAGGAACAAACAGTATCAGCCTTTCTAAAAAAATTATCAAAAACAGCATCAATATAATGAAGAATTTACATCAACTAATGGACAAAATAGCCAGCTAATGGCAATATTAAACTCACATATATTATTATTAATTCTAAATTTAAATTGACTAAATCCCCCAATCCAAAGACAGGCAATTTGAATATAAAACTAAAACCCATCAGTATGCTGCATCCAGATCCATCTCACATTCGAGGATACACAAAGACTCAAAATAAGGGATGGAGAAGGATTTACCAACCAAACAGAGAGCTAAAATAAACGAATAAAAAACAGAAGTTACAATTAAGCAACAAAGATCAAAAGAAGCAAAGAAGGACATTATATAATGATAAAAGGATCAATGCAACAACAAGAAGAGCTAAAGATCCTAAATATATACGCACCCAATACAGGAATATGCAGACATACAAGACTTATAAAAAGACTTAGACTCCCACATAATAATAGTGGGAGACTTCAACATTAATATTAGACAGATCAATGAGACAGAAAATTAACAACGATATTCAGGACTTGAACTCATATCTGGAACAAGTAAATGTAATTAACATTTATAGAACTCTGCACTTTAAATATACAAAATATACACTCTTATCAGTACCACATCATATCAACTTAGACGTTTAAAAGAAATCTTGGCTGGCTCCTTGTTTGCTATTCTCTTCCCTCATTTTCTTTCATGTCTCCATTATTAAGGACAATTATAGGCATACCCATATTTAGACTGCATTCTAGCTCGGGCAATAAAGCAATACCCCCATCCTCTCTCCTTCTTCCTCTTTCTCTTTCTTCCTCTTCTTTATTAAAAAAAAAATGTATGCCCGATTATCTCACAGAAATTCTCTAATGCTTCTATAATGAATTAAGTTTTGAGGATTGTGAGACTGCTCAAGATCACAGAAAGAGTAAAGAAGCCATGGCCACAACTTAAACTCTAACTTCCCTGTCCCAAGAGTGTGTACCACCGACAGAGTGCTTGGATGTGTTTGTAAGTAAAAAGATCTCACACCTGTAATCCCAGCATTTTGACAGGCCAGGATGGTTGGATCACTTGAGCCCAGGAGCTGGAGACCAGCCTGAGCAACAGAGCGAGACCTTGTCTCTACCAAAAAAAACAAAAACAAAAACAAAAAAATTAAAGTAGCCAGGCATGGTGGCCCTGTCTCCATTAAAGAAAACAAAAAAATTAAAACTAGTCAGGCGTGGTGGTGTGCACATGTAGTCTCAGCTAGTTGGGAGACTGAGGTAAGAGGATTCCTTGAGCCAGGGAGGTCAAGCTGTGATGGTGCCAGTGCACTCCAGCCTGGGCAACAGAGCCTTCCTTGACTGAAAAAAATAAAAGAGAGAGAAAGAGAGAGAGAGAGAGAGAGAGAGAGAGAGAGAGAGAGAGAGAGATTGATCCAGAAAGTTTTGTTTCAGTTAAAAAGAACAATATATTGTTACTTGGAAGAATATTTAGATTTCTTTCTGCCTTTGGCACTACCTACGGTTAAATTTTAATTTGACAGCATTTATATAGAGAACCCCAAAATTTCAAGGCATCTCTCTTCTCCTTCTCTTATCTACCTCTTATTTCCCATCCCCATGGAGTGACTTATACTAAAGAAATGTCAGGGAGGATAGAGAAAGTAAGTATATGCCTGAGCTATTTATGAGGCAAATTAGCCAGAATTTTGGTGACTTTGGAGGGATGGAGAAAGTGAATACAAAGGAAGAGACAGGCACTATATAATGAGTATCTGTCATTTGTGACTGTCGAAAATCTTTTGAACACCCTCCACGTTTTTATAATCCTTCACATCATGAATCCTACCTTCCAAGGTAGAATTTGAAGAGAAAAAATATATCCAGCCTCCCTTACTACTGGAATGGGATATGCACTAATTTTTTTTTTTTTTTTTTTTTTTTTTTTTTTTTTTTTTTTTCTGAGACAGAGTCTTGCTCTGTCACCAGGCTGGAGTGCAGTGGCGCAATCTCGGCTCACTGCAACCTCTGCCTCCTGGGTTGAAGCGATTTTTCACCTCAGCCTCTCGAGTAGCTGGGACCACAGGCGCATGCCACCATTCCTGGCTAATTTTTGTATTTTTAGTAGAGACAGGGTTTCACCATGTTGACCAGGATGGTCTCAATCTCTTGACTTCGTGATCCGCCCACCTTGGCCTCCCAAAGTGCTGGGATTACAGGCGTGAGCCACTGCGCCAGGCCAGACTAATTTTATACACTACTAAGGTTCCACTAATTATACACCCCAACAAAGGGTTCTGTTGGGTGGCTGGTGTCGCTGGTGTCTATTTTTGCTGGCATGGGTAGCAGCAAAGGCAGTGTATACTGGGGTTTGTTTTGGCAGCAAGAGTTGCCTAACCTCAGCAGATGTAGCTGGTTCCAGGGTTAGCAGCAGCAACTCCCTTACTAGGCAAGTACTGTAATGTAGTTCTGGAATTCTGACAAAGGCTACAACATGGATGATTCTTGAGGACATTATGCTAAGTAAGCCAGTTACAAAAGGACAAATAAAAAATTATGGAGCTAGATGGTGATGGTTGCATAGTATTATGAATGTGTTTAATACCACTGAACTATACCCTTAAAAATGGTCAAGATGGTAAATTTAATGTTATGTTTATTTTAGCACATAGAATACAATCTATGTTGTTCTCACAAAGGCCAAAT